CAGTAGTGGACTCCCCGTAAATCTGGTCGTCTCTCGGCGATAAAAAGCATCCAAGCCCATCAATGTCTCGGCCAATGACATGGCAATGAAGTTCCCGAGCCGAGGCAACTTTGGTGATGACGGACACATGGCCTTTGGCACCGAGTCAGGGTTTCCTAAATTCTCCCATTTTAAAATATTTAGGTGGCGACTCTGTATCTGGCAAAGTAGTCCATGTTTGGCACTTCTTTTCAAAAATCTGTTTCTCAAAACGATTTGCCGGATTTGGACTCTTTGGTTCAGATTAAGAACCGTGACATGAATCGAGTCCGAACTGTAGCGAGGGCCCCACGCGGGCGCATCTACAGTTGTCCATGATTGCTAACAAGTTGGGTGAAGTATTTTCTGCCACCAATGAAAAGTTGGATTTCATTGGTCAAAGAATGGGTTATGAACATGATCTCGCATCTAAACGGGCAAGTTTGAATGATGAACTCATTAAGTTGCCAATTACTCTTGATGAAAGGCTAGATGCTTGTGAGATCATATCACAAAGTGCTTAAAAGCTCGACATGTTCTTCAGCTTGACACATGATGACAAACTAAGGTGGGTGATGAGGTTGCTACGTAGGAGTGCTCCATGATAGACTCGGGGCTCTTTTATGTCCTTCTACGTACTTAGTTTTTTTGATTACTCTAAGGCATGTAATAAGGACTTGACTTTTTGCTAGTTTTTTTTGTTGAACTACTCATATTTTGCTACTTTATGTTGCAATATGCTACTTGAAATGCCTATTTTGAAATGATGAATGGTAGATTTATATTTCTACAATTTCATAGTTGAATGATTTTTGATATTTTTTTGTTCGAAAAAAAAGAGAGTTAAATTTTGTTTAAATAAATGCCTTTTTGAATTTGGGCAGTGAATGGTTGGATAATTAAAATAACAGGGCATATCTTTTAATGATTGCTTGTGTATATATAAATTTTATAGTTGAATGATTTTTGATTTTTTTCTATTAAAAAATAAGTGGGGGTTAAATTTTGTTCAAATAAATACTTTTTTGAATTTGGGCAATGAATGATTAGATGATTAAAATATGTATTTTTTTAAATGGTTGCTTATGTAAATATAAATTTTATAGTTAAATTATTTTTTATTTTTTCTATTAAAAAAAAGTGGGTTAAATTTTGTTCAAATGAATCAAAATGGATGTGGAGCAACAATATGAAAATTTGCTTTTTAAAAATTATAACTCATTTTAGTGCAAAATTTTACATTAATTATAATAGGGGTATTATGGTCAATATATTGGATGTTCTGTATCTTGTCATGTCCAATTCATTCAAATCCCCTTAAATAAACATCGGATTGGATAATATTTTATTAATCCCTCCTTATAATCCTAACTCAATCCAAACATAGGATATGATACATAATCCAAAGGACTCATAGTCCTAGGACTATTAGTCATAGGAATGCTAATCCAACCTAATCCAGTCCGTCCAAACAAACATGGCCTTTACGGTTCAGTTCTATTACTTTATTCAATTTATTCTATAGTACTAGAACACTATCATATTTCTATATAAATATAGATAGGTAGAAGTCAGTAGTTTACATGATAAGTGTTAAGATGTAGAAATTTGTTGTGAGCAGGGAAATGCTCAGAGACCGGAAGTGCGTGTAGTCACATGGAACAATGATGAGCTTGCAACAGATGCACTACCTGTCCATGGCTTTGACCATTACAAGGCAAAGGATTATGCCCTTGCTCATGCTCTATTCTCAGGTAAAAGTGTCCAAGAGTTTATGAATTTGCATTCAAACAGTGGTAATACTTATGCATTTTTAAGTAGGTAGCAACTATGCAGGTGGGCAGTGGGCTGCTGGTGATGAGCCATTATACTATATTGTATCCCCAAAGGATGTAGTTATTGCAAAACCTAGGTTAGTTCAATTTTATCTTTCCTTAGTTTCTATTTTAATAGAATGTCAGCATGTAATTTTCCTATTGATAATTAATTACATCACAAAAGGCCAGAATATTTATAATCCGAATACACTTTTCACATATCCAAAATACTTTCATATTTTTTATTCACTTTTTACATATTTCAATACACTTTGCACATTTTTCAACACTAATAACAGCCCTAAGGTTTGTTTTTAGCATTATCGTTAATTATATCAATCTATATGCTATCTTATCTATAAAGTAAGAAGACACTTTTTTCGCACTTGTGAATCCAATCACTGCTTAATGCTATCTGTCAAGTTTAGTTCATGAGATGATTATTATGCAAACATTAGGAGTTATCTGTTTAAAGTTCTCCCCCGTTTCTCATCTTTTTCATATGTTTGCTCACCAAATGTAGTATCTTTAGAATTCCAATTAAGCATAGGCTCCCCACCATTTATGGATATCTAAATCTGAATACTTCAAGTTTGTGAGAAGGTAGATAGAAGTGAAACAAATCTGGAAGTTCTTATTGAAAAATAGGAAAATGGTGAAACAAATTAAGAAGGTGCATGAGCAGATACGTGTCCCAGTTGGATGGGGGGTGCTTGAGCAGACAAGTGTAGAATTCATCCATTAGTTTTAGTGAGTTCAATGAATTTTTTATTTAACGAATTTAAGTGTATGTCATCTTAATATGGTGAGTGAATTGCCTGAAAATGGAATGCTTTAAATTTTAATTCACCTTTATAGAAAAAATTGTGGGATTTAAAAGCATAATTTTGATTCCTTTACTGCTCGCATTGTTTGTTTTGCCATTATATCATCTCCTATGCCATATTAAAAATCACAAACTCTGTTGATTTACAAATGCAATTTCTTGTTGATTGCTAGGGATACAACAGATCATATTTCTTGGCTTCTTCAACATGGATGGCATGAAAAAGCTTTAGCAGCAGTTGAAGCTGGGCAGGGACGAAGTGAGCTTCTTGATAAGGTATTTATGTTTGATTTTAGTTTAACAGTTCATTTATTTATTTGCATTGTATTACTTACTAAATAAGTAATTGATGCATGATGTACATATGAAATGTTTACATTTTATTTCCCATATTTTCATGGAAACAATGTAATATAGAAACCTACAATTTGTCTAGATTCTCTTATTTTTTGGAAGTAGGCTATTTATGTGTTGTTATTTTTAGTCATTCTGGGTTACTTTGTGAATATGTCAATTAATACATAATGTTATAATCATGAATCACCTAGTTCATGAGGCATATGGGTTGCATATGTTCATAGCATGAATAGTTTGAAAGTGTCCTAGCAGGATCATGTTGTTTTGGGACCAAAAACTATGCTCAATGTAATGCACTGGATACTTGTCTAAGGCCCAACATTTCAAAATTCAAAATAATGGCCTTTATGCCCCAAATGCTAACATTTGGAAATTCAAAACAATTGCCTTTATGGCCTAAATACTTATTCAGCAACAAAGCCAAGAAAATGATCAACCCACTGAAATCCCTCCATAGCATAAATAATTCAATGCTCCAAACCTTTACGAACCAAAATTCGTGCCTCTTTTGTGGCTCTAAATTAAAGCCTTTTAAGGGCATTGTACTTCTAAAAAATGAAAGAGCCACATTAGGCATTCCAACTCCCCCGAAGTATGAGGTGGTTAAAATTAAAATCTAGTCATTTTCTAGATAAAAGATGGTGCCTAGTCCTTGACAATTGGTTATATATGCCATTTCCATTTATGACGTTCGGATAGTCATTTTTGTAGCCCTAGTATGTCTGTTTTCACTATCTCCTGTTGTCAGTTTTGATTGTTGCAATTGCAAAATCTTTTTCCTGTACATGTGGACAATAACTAAACTTTGCTATGTATTTCCTTCCATAGTTCCATATTATATTATAGTATCGGTAGTAATACATTTTCAATTTGTCCACTATGTATGCAGGTGGGGTCTAGCTATCATGATCATTTGATTGTGGAAAGGAAATATATTGAAGCCGCATCATTATGTCCCAAATTGTTGCGAGGATCGGTTTCAGCATGGAAAAGGTACTAAACACTATTAAGTATGACTCTCCTGTAAATTTATTTTTAATAGCTAGCAGTGGGTTATTTCTCAAAGATGGGTTTTCTACTTTGCTCATCTTCATCTGCTTCTTGTATTGGTTCCATACATACCAACTGAAAACCCAAGGTTACATGATACTGCTTATGAGGTATGCAATATTTGACATTTCCTAAAAACTTAATTTGATACTTCATATGCTCTTTGGACTTGCTAAATTGGAAATAAAGGTCTTAGCGGTTTTTGTTAATCATCTACAAGTAGCTTTTGTTGCTCTGACAACAAATCCATCTTTTCACAAGGATCTCTTGTCAACTGTCAAATCTTGGCCGCCTGTAATTTATTCTGCTTTGCCTATTATCTCAGCCATAGAACCTCAGCTTAATACTTCATCCATGACTGATGCACTAGCAGAGGTCAGTATAAACATTGTTATCTTGATATTGATTACGAATTTTGGTTATTATTACATCTTTTCCATTATGAATTACTTTACCATGTCAGGCACTAGCAGAGTTGTATGTAATTGATGGACGGTACGAGAAAGCTTTTGCACTATATGCTAATGTAAGTGCTCTATATGGAGTCTTGCATAGTTTACGTAGAAAACCAGCAACAGCTTAAAGTAGTTACACTACTGAATACACTCACATGATGCTCTGCAAAATCAAGCTCTAGCTATACTAGTTTCTTGACATTAACTTGTTTGTTTCCTTACTATTTAATTTTCTTTTATTCTTCACCTTAAAAAGCCAAATATATTTGACTTTCTCGAAAAACATAACTTACATAATGCTCTTCGTGAAAAGGTATGTGTATGTTACCACATTAGGTGATTTTTTTGGTTCGTATCATATCTAAGCTTGAAATTGCCCATTTCCTTGATTTTCTTTTTGTTCCTGTTGTTGTTATTGTAATCATTATCAGTTGTTACCTAGAAAGGAAAAATTCAAAGAGAACACTGAAACTTCTTTATTGACACTTTCTTTTGTAATCTATGAATGTGTAGGTTGTCCAACTGATGATGACAGATTACAAACGTGCAGTACCATTGTTGACCCAACACAAAGACTTAATCACTGCATCAAAAGTTGTTAACTTTTGGCTGTGGGGAATAAGTGTGATTCCATATACTTTTTACATCTGTATCTGCTTTCACTATTTGAAGCTAATCCGCATGCTGGAAGGGATTTCCATGATATGCAGGTATGCGGAAAGAGAATTAAATTCATATTAGAAAATGCTTTCACACTAGAGTTGGTTTTGTTCTTAACTTTTGGAGTGATGGGGAGATTGAATCAGAAGAGGCTCACGGGATGAAAATTGATGTGCATAAATAAAAAGAATTGCATAATGGCTAAATATTATCGTCTAAATTGATCTTTTGTAATTGCAACTGTGGAGTGTGAGAACCATTCACTTGTGAGCTCCATCAATAAGTGCACCTTTTTTGCCAAAATCTACCTTCTTGTATATGTTGGAACTATTAAAGTCTTCAGAACAGTAGCTGATTAATCATCCATTCTATGGAAAGATACTTCTATTGGAAATGGTGATATTTCGAATCATGGGATGTGGTAGTGCTATAAGTATGTTGTTGAACTAGCACGGGACTCCCGGTTCGAAAACTAAATTCAAAAATTTACTTTTTCACACTTAAGCTTGAAAATAGGCATTCGAAGACAAAAATCGTGCAATAGCCACGAGACAGCCCGGGTAACACCTCAAACACCACGGGAGGGACCAACGTAAGTTGTGGAAACTTACGAAATTAGCACAGGACTCCCGGTTCGAAAACTAATTCCAAAAATGTACTTTTTTACACTTAAGCTTGAAAATAGGCCATCGGAGGCCAAAATTGTGCAACAGCCACAAGACGGCCCGGGTAACACCTCAAACACCTCGGGAGGGACCAATGTGAGTTGTAGAAACTTACGGAACTAGCACGGGATGTCCGGTTTGAAAACTAAGTCCAAAAATGTACTTTTTCACACTTAAGCTTGAAAATAGGCCTTCAGGGGCCAAAATCGTGTCACAGCCACGAGACGGCCCGGGTAACACCTCAAACACCTCGGAAGGGACCAAAATAAGTTGTGAAAACTTACGGAACTAGCACGGGGCTCCAGGTTCGAAAACAAAGTCAAAAAATATACTTTTTCACACTTAAGCTTGAAAATAAGCCATTGGAGGCCAAAATCGTGCAACAGCCACGAGACAGCTTGGGGAACACCTCAAACATCTCGGGGGAGACCAATGTGAGTTATGGAAACTTACAGAACTAGCACGGGACTCCCGACTTGAAAACTAAGTCCAAAAATGCACTTTTTCACACTTAAGCTCGAAAATAGGCCTTCGGGGGCCAAAATCGTGTAACAGCCACGAGACAGCCAACGTAACACCTCAAACACCTTGGGAGGGACCAATGTGAGTTGTGGAAACTTAAGGAACTAGCACGGGACACCCGGTTTGAAAACTAAGTCCAAAAATGCACTTTTTCACACTTAAGCTTGAAAATAGGCCATCGGAGGCCAAAATTGTGCAACAGCCATGAGACGGGCCGGGTAACACCTTAAACACCTCGGGAGGGACTAATGTTAGTTGTGGAAACTTATGGAACTAGCATGGGACTCCCGGTTTGAAAACTAAGTCCAAAAAGGCATTTTTTCACACTGAAGCTTGAAAATAGACCTTCGGGTGCCAAAATCGTGTAATAGCCACGAGATGGCCTGGGTAAAACCTCAAACACCTCGGGAGGGACCAATGTTAGTTGTGGAAACTTACGGAACTAGTACGAGACTCCCAGTTTGAAAACTAAGTCCAAAAATGCATTTTTTCACACTTAAACTTGAAAATAGATCTTCGGGTGCCAAAATCATGTAACAGCCATGAGACGACCTGGATAAAATCTCAAACACCTCGGGAGGGACCAAAGAAAGTTGTGGAAACTTAAGGAACTAGCACGAGACTCCCGGTTTGAAAACTAAGTCCAAAAATGCACTTTTTCACATTTAAGCTTGAAAATAGGCCATCGGAGGCCAAAATCGTGCAACAGCTACGAGTCAGCCTAGGGAACACCTCAAACACCTCAGAAGGGACCAATGTGAGTTGTGAAAATTTATGGAACTAGCACGGTTTGAAAACTAAGTTCAAAAATATATTTTTTCATACTTAAGCTTGAAAGTAGACCTTCGGGGGCCAAAATTGTGTAACAGCCACAAGACGGCCCGGGTAACACCCCAAACACCTCAAGAGGGATCCAAGTAAGTTGCGGAAACTTACAGAAATAGCACGGGACTCCCGGTTCGAAAACTAAGTCCAAAAATGCACTTTTCCACACTTAAGCTTGAAAATAGGCCATCAGAGGCCAAAATCGTACAACAGCCACGAGACGGCACATGGAACACCTCAAACACCTAGGGAGGGACCAATGTGAGTTGTGGAAATTTATGGAGCTAGCACGGGACTCCCAGTTTGAAAACTAAGTTAAAAAATGTACTTTTTCACACTTAAGCTTGAAAATAGGCCTTCGGGGGCAAAAATTGTGTATCAGCCATGAGATGGCCTGGGTAACACCTTAAACATCTCGGGGGAGACCAATGTGAGTTGTGGAAACTTACAGAACTAGCACGGGACTCCAGACTTGAAAACTAAGTCCAAAAATGCACTTTTTCACACTTAAGCTCGAAAATAGGCCTTCGGGGGCCAAAATCGTGTAATAGCCACGAGACGGCCAGCATAACACCTCAAACACCTCGGGAGGGACCAATGTGAGTTGTGGAAACTTACAGAACTAGCACGGGACACCCGGTTTGAAAACTAAGTCCAAAAATGCACTTTTTCACACTTAAGCTTGAAAATAAGCCATCGGAGGCCAAAATCGTGCAACAGCCACAAGACGGGCCAGGTAACACCTCAAACACCTTGGGAGAGACCAATGTTAGTTGTGGAAACTTATGGAACTAGCATGGGACTCCCGGTTTGAAAACTAAGTCCAAAAAGGCATTTTTTCACACTGAAGCTTGAAAATAGACCTTCGGGTGCCAAAATAGTGTAATAGCCACGAGATGGCCTGGGTAATACCTCAAACACCTCGGGAGGGAACAATGTCAATTGTGGAAACATACGGAACTAGCACGGGACTCCCAGTTTGAAAACTAAGTCCAAAAATGCATTTTTTCACACTTAAACTTGAAAATAGATCTTCGGGTGCCAAAATCGTGTAACAGCCATGAGATGGCCTGGGTAAAATATCAAACACCTCGGGAGGGACCAAAGAAAGTTGTGGAAACTTAAGGAACTAGCACGGGACTCCCGGTTTGAAAACTAAGTCCAAAAATGCACTTTTTCACACTTAAGCTTGAAAATAGGCCATCGGAGGCCAAAATCGTGCAACAGCTACGAGTCAGCCTAGGGAACACCTCAAACACCTCAGAAGGGACCAATGTGAGTTGTGAAAATTTACGGAACTAGCACGGGACTCCCGGTTTGAAAACTAAGTCCAAAAATGTATTTTTTCACACTTAAGCTTGAAAGTAGACCTTCGGGGGCCAAAATTGTGTAACAGCCACAAGACGGCCCGGGTAACACCTCAAACACCTCGGGAGGGACCCAAGTAAGTTACGAAAACTTACAGAACTAGCACGGGACTCCCGGTTCGAAAACTAAGTCCAAAAATGCACTTTTACACACTTAAGCTTGAAAATAGGCCATCAGAGGCCAAAATCATGCAACAGCCACGAGACGGCACAAGGAACACCTCAAACACCTAGGGAGGGACCAATGTGAGTTGTGGAAACTTACGGAGCTAGCACGGGACTCCCGGTTTGAAAACTAAGTTTAAAAATGCACTTTTTCACACTTAAGCTTGAAAATAGGCCTTCGGGGGCCAAAATTGTGTATCAGCCACGAGATGGCCTGGGTAACACCTCAAACACCTTGGGAGGGACCAAATTAAGTTTTGGAAACTTACAAAACTAGCATGGGACTCCCAGTTCGAAAACTAAGTCCAAAAATGTACTTTTTCACACTTAAGCTTGAAAATTGGCCATCGGAGGCCAAAATCGTGGAACAGCCACGAGATGGCCTGGGGAACACCTCAAACACCTTAGGAGGGACAAATGTGAGTTTTCGAAACTTATAGAACTAGCACGGGACTCCCGGTTTGAAAACTAAGTTAAAAAATGCAGTTTTTCACACTTAAACTTGAAAATAGGCCTTCGGGGGCCAAAATCATGTAACAGCCACGAGATGGCCTGGGTAACACCTCAAACACTTAAGGAGAGAGTAAAATAAGTTGTTAAACTTAGGGAACTAGCACGGGACTCCTTTTTTGTAAACTAAGTCCAAAAATACACTTTTTCACACTAAAACTTGAAAATAGGCCCTCGGAGGCCAAAATCGTGCAACAGCCACGAGACGGCCTGGGTAACACCTCCAACACCTCAAGACGGACCATTGTTAGTTGTGGAAACTTACGGGACTAGCACGGGACTCCCGGTTTGTAAACTAAGTCCAAAAATGCACTTTTTTACGCTTAAACTTGAGAACAGGCCATCGGAGGCCAAAATCGTGCAACAGCCACGAGACGGCTTAGGTGACACCTCAAACACCTCGGGACGGACTAATGTGAGCTATGGAAACTTACGGAACTAGCACGGGACTCTTGGTTTGAAAACTAAGTCCAACAATGCACTTTTTCACATTTAAGCTTGAAAATAGGCCTTCGGCAGCCAAAATCATGTAACAGTCACGAGACGGCCCGGGTAACACCTTAAACACCTCTGGAGGGACCAAAGTAAGTTGTGAAAACTTACGGAACTTACATGGGACGCCCGGTTCAAAAACTAAGTCCAAAAATGCACTTTTACACACTTAAGCTTGAAAATAGGCCATCGGAGGCCAAAATCGTGCAACAGCCACGAGACGGCACAGGGAACACCTCAAACACCCAGGGAGGGACCAATGTGAGTTGTGAAAACTTACGGAGCTAGCACGGGACTCCCGGTTTGAAAACTAAGTTCAAAAATGCACTTTTTCACACTTAAGCTTGAAAATAGGCCTTCAGGGGCCAAAATTGTGTATCAGCCACGAGATGGCTTGGGTAACACCTCAAACACCTCGAGAGGGACCAAATTAAGTTTTAGAAACTTACAAAACTAGCACGGGACTCTCGGTTCGAATACTAAGTCCAAAAATGCACTTTTTCACACTTAAGCTTGAAAATAGGCCATAGGAGGCTAAAATCATGCAACAGCCACGAGACGGCCCGGGGAACACCTCGAAAACCTCAGGAGGGACCAATGTGAGTTGTGGAAACTTATGGAACTAGCACGGGACTCCCAGTTTCAAAACTAAGTTCAAAAATGCATTTTTTCACACTTAAGCTTGAAAATAGGCCTTCGGGAGCCAAAATCTTGTAGCAGCCACGAGACGTTTCGGGTAACACCTCAAAAATCTTGGGAGGGAGCAAAGTAAGTTGTGGAAACATACGGACCTAACACGGGACTCACGGTTTGAAATCGAAGTCCAAAAATGCACTTTTTCACACTTAAACAAGAAAATAGGTCGTCGGAGGCCAAAATCGTACAACATTCACGAGACGGCCTGGGGAACACCTCAAACACCTCGGGAGGGACCAATGTGAGTTGTGAAAACTTACGGAACTAGCATGGACTCCCGGTTTGAAAACTAAGTCCAAAAATGCACTTTTTTACACTTAAGCTTGAAAATAGGCCTTCGGTGGCCAAAATCGTGTAACAGCCACGAGACGGCCCGGGTAACACCCCAAACACCTTGGGAGGGACCAAAGTAAGTTGTGAAAACTTACGGAACTAGCACGGGACTTCCAGTTCGAAAACTAAGTCCAAAAGTGCACTTTTTCACACTTAAGCTTAAAAATAGGCCATCGGAGGCCAAAATCGTGCAACAGCCACGAGATGGCCTGGGGAACACCTCAAACACCTCGGGAGGGACCAATGTGAGTTGTGAAAATTTACGGAACTAGCACAAGACTCCCGATTTTAAAACTAAGTCCAAAAATGCACTTTTTCACACTTAAGCTGGAAAATAGGCCTTCAGGGGCCAAAATCGTTTAATAGCCACGAGATGGCTCAAGTAACACCTCAAACACCTTGGGAGGGACCAAAATAAGTTGTGAAAACTTACGCAACTAGCACGGGACTCCTGGTTCGAAAATTAAGTCCAAAATTACACTTTTTCACACTTAAACTTGAAAATAGGCCATTTGAGGCCAAAATCGTGCAACAACCACGAGTTGGCCCGGGGAACAACTTAAACACCTCGGGAGGGACCAATGTGAGTTATGGAAACTTACAGAACAAGCACGGGACTCCCGGTTTGAAAACTAAGTACAAAAATTTATTTTTTCACACTTAAGCTTGAACATAGGCCTTCGGGGGCCAAAATCGTGTAACAGTCACGAGACGTCCCGGGTAACACCTCAAAAATGCACTTTTTTCACACTTATGCTTAACTAAGTCCAAAACTCAGTCCAAAAATGCCTCTGTATTAGTCGAATTCTAGCCCAGGTCTCTTTCTCTCTCTTTCTCTCTCTATATATATATATATATATAAACTACGTATATATGTATGTTGATTTGAATTTGGATCTTCGATTTTGTGAGGAAAAGAAAGAAAAGTGAGAATTTGTGTAAAAAAATTGTATTTTTAGTAATAAATTTGTGAAATTCGAGATCTAAAAAGTATGGTGGTGCGATGATGATAAATGTTAATCCCAGCTCATTATGAGGCCTTGTTTTTAGAGACTAAGGCCTGGGAATAGACTCTATCCAACATCTATCTGAGCTTCAAACACCTGGTTCGAAAACTAAGTCCAAAAATGCACTTTTTCACACTTAAACTAGAAAATAGGCCATCGGAGGCCAAAATCGTGCAACAGCCATGAGACGGCATGGGGAACACCTCAAACACCTCGGGAGGGACCAACGTGAGTTGTGGAAACATACGGAACTAGATGGGGACTCTCGGTTTGAAAACTAAGTTAAAAAATGTACTTTTTCACACCTAAGCTTGAAAGTAGGCCTTCGGGGGCCAAAATCGTGTAACAGCCCCGAGACGGCCTGGGTAACACCTCAAACACATCGGGAGGGACCAAAGTAAGTTGCGGAAACTTATGAAACTAGCACGAGACTCCTGGTTCGTAAACTAAGTCCAAAAAAAGCACTTTTTCACACTTAAACTTGAAAATAGGCCATCGGAGGCCAAAATCATGCAACAGCCACGAGACGGCCTGGGTAACAACTCAAACACCTCGGGATGGACCAATGTGAGTTCTGAAAACTTACAGAACTAGCACAGGAATCCCGATTTGAAAACTAACTCCAAAAATGCACTTTTTCAAACTTAAGCTTGAAAATAGGCCTTCGGCGGCCAAAATCGTGTAACAGCCACAAGACGGCCCGGGTAAAACCTCAAACACCTCGGGAGGGACCGAAGTAAGTTGTGGAAACTTACGGAACTAGCACGGGACTCCCAGTTCGTAAACTAAGTTCAAAAATGCACTTTTTCACACTTCAACTTGAAAATAGGCCATCGGAGGCCAAAATCATGCAACAGTCACGAGACGGCTTGGGTAACACCTCAAAGACCTCAGGATAGACCAATGTGAGTTGTGGAAACTTACGAAACTAGCACGGGACTCCCAGTTTGAAAACTAAGTCCCAAAATGTATTTTTTCACACTTAAGCTTGAAAATAGGGTTTCGGCGGCCAAAATTGTGTCATAGCCATGAGACGGCCCGAGTAACACGTCAAACACCTCGGGAGGGACCAAAGTAAGTTATGAAAATTTACAGAACTAGCACAAGACTCCCGGTTCGAAAACTAAGTCAAAAAATGCACTTTTTCACACTTAAGCTTGAAAATAGGCCATCGGAGGCCAAAATCGTGCAACAGCCAAGAGTCGGCCCGGGGAACACCTCAAAAACCTCGAGAGGAACCAATGTGAGTTGTGGAAACTTACGGAAATAGCACGGGACTCCCGGCTTGAAAACTAAGTCAAAAAATGCATTTTTTCACACTAAAGCTTGAAAATAGGCCTTCGGGGGCCAAAATCGTGTAATAGCCACGAGACAGCCTGGGTAACACCTCAAACACCTCAGGAGGGACCAAAATAAGTTGTGGAAACTTACGGAACTAGCACGGGACTCCCGGTTTGAAAACTAAGTCCAAAAATACATTTTTTCACACTCAAGCTTGAAAATAGGCTTTCGGGTGCCAAAATCGTGTAACAGCCATGAGACGGCCTGGGTAACACTCCGAACACCTCAAGAGGGACCAAAGTAAGTTGTGAAAACTTACAGAACTAGCACGGGACTCCCGGTTCGAAAACTAAGTCCAAAAATGCACTTTTTCACACTTAAGCTTTAAAATAGGCCATCGGAGGCCAAAATTGTGCAATAGCCACGAGTCGGCCTGAGGAACACCTCAAACACGTCAGGAGGGACCAATGTGAGTTATGGAACCTTACGGAACTAGCACGGGACTACCAGTTTGAAAACTAAGTCCAAAAATGTATTTTTTCACACTTAAGCTTGAAAATAGGCCTTCGGCAGCCAAAATCGTGTAACAGCCGCGAGACGGCCCGGGTAACACCTCAAACACCTCGGGAGAGACCAAAGTAAGTTGTGGAAACTTATGGAACTAGCACGGGACTCCCAGTTCGAAAACTAAGTCCAAAAATGCACTTTTTCATACTTAAGTTTGAAAATAGGCCATCAGAGGCCAAAATCGTGCAACAGCCAGGAGACGGCCCGGGGAACACCTCAAACACCTCGGGACGGACCAATGTGAGTTGTGAAAACTTACAGAACTAGCACGGGACTCCTGGCTTGAAAACTAAGACCAAAAATGCACTTTTTCACACTTAAGCTTAAAAATAGGCCTTCGGGGGCCAAAATTGTGTAACAGCCATGAGACGGCCAGGGTAACTCCTCAAACACCTCGGGAGGGACCAATGTGAGTTATGGAAACTGACGGAACTAGCACGGGACACCCGGTTTGAAAATTAAGTCCAAAAATGCACTTTTTTACACTTAGGCCTCGTTTGGGAACCCTTATTTTTAGCTAAAAAGTCAAAAAGTTACTAAATTAGCCAAAAAGCCAACAACCCATACCAAAAAGTCAAAGATTCTCTTTTCTCTCTACTTTTTGCACATCTTTTCGTAAAAATTCAAAGAGTCATCCCAAACATACTAGTTTTTTTTTAGCTCATATTTTAGCCAAATAGCCAAAAAGTTACTAAATTAGCCTGTTCCCAAACGAGGCCTAAGCTTGAAAATAGGCCATCGGAGGCCAAAATCGTGCAACAGCCACGAGACGGGCCAGGTAACACCTCAAACATCTTGGGAGGGACCAATGTTAGTTGTGGAAACTTATGGAACTAGCATGGGACTCCCGGTTTGAAAACTAAGTCTAAAAAGGCATTTTTTCACACTTAAGCTTGAAAATAGACCTTCGAGTGCCAAAATCGTGTAACAGCCACAAGACAGCCTGGGTAAAACCTCAAACATCTCGGGAGGGACCAATGTTAGTTGTGGAAACTTACGGAACTAGCACGGGACTCCCGGTTTGAAAACTAAGTCCAAAAATGCACTTTTACACACTTAAGCTTAAAAATAGGCCATCGGAGGCCAAAATCGTGCAACAGCCACGAGACGGCATGGGGAACACGTCAAACACCTCGGGAGGGACCAATGTGAGTTGTGAAAACTTACGGAACTAGCACGGGACTCTCGGTTCAAAAACTAAGTCCAAAAATGCACTTTTTCACACTGAAGCTTGAAAATGGACCATCGAGGCCCAAAATTGTGTAACAGGCACGGGAAGGCCCGGGAAACACCTCAAACACGTCGGGAGGGACCAATGTAAGTTGTGGAAACTTACGGAACTAGCACCGGACTCCCGATTTGAAAACTAAGTCGCAAAATGTATGTTAAATTGTATATTTTATTGATAAGATAATAATTGTCTAACTTGCATTCTTTTTTCTTTTTTTGTGTTTCATTTTTTTGCAGATTCGAGATTTGATATGGACATGTTTGGTAATTTGGAGAGTAGAACCTAGCTCATTTTGTGTTTTTGTTCATATTACCTTACTTGTATTTTGGTTGCGTTGTAAATTTTATATTTTTGTTGGTATTACAGGTCATGTTTCATTATCCGCACTTGATATTTTATTTTTGTTGATATTAGTAAACATGTTTTTTGTGGATATTAGGAGACGTGTTTGGTAATCCGCATGCGGTTGATATTATATTTTTGTGGGTAGTGCTGAAATTCAATTGTGATGTTTATGAAAATGAACAGATTTTTGTATTGATTTGTAATAGATATTTTATTGAACAGGTTATTGAAATGCGCAGGGAATTTTCAGATGAACAGGTTAAATTTAATTCAAAAATAGGACCCCCATTTTCAAATTTTTTAATTTTTATTAGCGACGAAATAAAAAATGTCACTATTAGTTTTCAAAAAACATGACAAATAATTTTGTCACTAATGATATAGTACCAAACAAATAATTTCGTCACATTTGCTGAATATTTCGTCGCTAAATTGAAATATTTGGTGACAAAATGTTTTTTGTCATTGAAGAATTTGCTTTTCTGCTCATTTTAGTGACAAATTTTTTTGTCACCTTAATCCATATCATTGGTGAGGAAAACTTTCGTTACTAAAATCTATTTGGTGACGAAATATTTCGTCGCAAAAAACAATTAAAATAAAATATTATTTAGTTTTGGTGACGAAATTGATGTTATAGAGGACGAAAAATGCAACATTTGGAGACGAAACATTTCGTCGCCAAAAATGGAAAATAGGCGGTGAAACTGTTTTTCGTCACCAGGTACTTTCAGCGACAACGTATAGGCAACAAACGTGGTGACAAATTTTTTTCGTCACAGATCACTTTAGTAACAAAAATTTGATGTTTGGAGACAAAATCAGTTTGTCACCAAAGGCCTTTTTGTTGTAGTGTAACTTGGAAATTTCTTCTTTGACTTTAAGAGTTACCATTAGGAATCCTATGTTCCACTAGCTGCCTATCCAATCTAGGTAACTCACTATAGTCCCAAGCAAAGCAGTCTTTATATTCTTTCAATAAAGCTAACAATCTAGCTTTAGAAATTGGGTCTATCCAAGCACTAATGAAGGTTGGATTCAAAGCTACTTTTCATTCTAAATTTACTTCTTCCAAAGGGTCTTGAGCCTTAGTTGTTAAGCTTTCTTAGACTTCAGACTCTTTTAGTTTTTCAGGTGATTCAACTTCTTGTTGTTTCCCTTTATCATCTTTATTGGCAAAGTTTGCACAGAAAATTTCATCTCCTAGAATTCTGGTTTCAATATTTAAGGCCAATAAGTTATTCGAAGCCAATAATAAGGCTTGTTACATTGTTTTAGATTCAGAGCCAATCATTTAACTCGTCCTTATTGCATGCTGGCTTATCCAAACCATCTTGAATCCTCTGTTTTAGGTAAGCCACGTCATTGTCTGTACCATGTTCTACGTCCTCACCCTGAGTCTTCAGCACACTCAGAGATATCACCCACTATTTATATAGCTTTGCCTCTGTGAAATATGCATAAGATGTGAATAATTGAGGGTCTACTTGTATCTCTTCTATTTCTTCATCTCTCAAAGCCATGATGATCTTTTGGTGTAATGAGAATAGCACACACTTGTTAGTATGTATCCAATCTCTTCCTAGTAGGACGTTATACTTAGCCTTGCTATCTACCGCAAAGAAATTTGTAACACAACTTTTGAACCCCACATTGAGGTTAACTAGTAGGATTCCTTAGCCATTTGTTTGTCTCCTATGAACCCTGCTATGGAGGTGCTAGTTGGGATAAGTTTTGGGTTTTTCAAACCCAACTTCTTCAAAGAGGCTTTGGGCAACAAGTTGACTGCTACTCCATTATCCACCAACACCTTACTCATTAATACTCCATCAAAATGGGCCTTGATGTACAAGGGCTTGATGTGCTGAGTCATGCTTAGAGTTGGGTATTCACAAGGATAGTAAGGTGTAGCCTCTTGAACCTCCATCTCCATTGTTTCTTTAGAGTTTGTCTCCTCCACCATCTTAGTCTCTGGGATAGAAACCTTTTCATCTGATTCAACTAATTCTTTAATTGATAGGCTTCTCCTTTGCTTGGGATCTTCTTTCAACCTGCGAGGCAAAACATACACCATATTTATGTCAACAATAGGTAATGAGCCAAATTGAATTTAGATTGGCTCACTTTATGCCTCTAACCAGTTTGAACGTTCTAAGCTCCTTTAAGACTTCGGTCTCCTGCTATTTTCATAGAAATAGCCAATTTCAGATTAACGGGCTTGGTTTGTTCAACCATCATAGTTTCGAACAAATCATCTTCAATTTCTTGTAAGCCATCTGGCTAGATTTTTGAATTTTCAAACTCAGATTCAGTCTCCATTAAGGCCTTAGACAAGCCTGCTAGACTGACATTTTCTTCAGTTATTAATTCAGCATGAATTCAGGCCAATTGTTTTATTTTTTCTTGAGCATGATTGTATCTCACATGCACTTTCTCAACCCCTTTGTCTCTACCCTTCCCCCCTCTTGGGATTATTTTGACAAAGTCTTGGAGTTCTTTCCAATACCTAGTGAATTTCCTTTGGATCTTTCTCCTTTGTGATCTAGAGAGAATGGGCACCAAATCTGGTTGCCTACTCTTTGGATCTTTTAACATGAACCATTGGTTAGGCGCTATAGGAGGTGGCTTAACCATCTTCAATTTCTAATCATGTTAAGGTTTAGTATGCCTTACCTTCGACCTAGTCTGCAAAACAAACGAATTTGGGACTCTTCGTACCTAGGAATACACTTGCCTTCTACTTGTGTAAAGAGTGTTTGGTCTCGAAGGACCAACTTCTGGACTTCTCTCAAGTCCTCTCTCCCTATATGATTTGCAGAAGGATTATGTTCTCAAATCTCCATGGGTTCTGCCTCTGAATGATCATCTCATTTCCCTTCTTATGCCCCAAGTTATCATTTGAGAAGGAGCCACTACTTCATATGGGCATAAGTTTGGCGTAGCTTGCTTCTAGGTCTCCTGGTTACAAAGTTTGGAGTGTTGTCTCTAGGACTGACCTTTTCAGGTATTCCTTTGACCCACTTGTAACCTTTCCTGCACCTAGGACAAACTCTCTAGACAATCGAAGTCTCCACAGTACATGTGTTCGCTGAGTGATTAGACTATTTCTAGCCATGTAAAAAGCCAACTTCTTTAGTCTTTTGGGATGACTTCCTTTCGTTCGAAGCAAGTTCTTGCCTCATTTCATTCATCTGGACGTCTAAAACATCAAATTCTCTAAGATTCAAGCCTTTTTCTAAAGCCTGAATAATTGAGTCTAGAACTCCAACATTAGTTTCCACCTCATTTACCTCTAGAAAAGAGTCTTTGTCAATTTCCATTGTCTTCTCAGCCTTGGCTGGGAACTAAAGCCTGCCCTTCTTGATCTACTTCTAAATCCTGTCTCGAAAAATAAAGTGGTTTTTAGTAGAATGAGACCAACTATTATGCCATTTACAATACATTTTACAATTTAACTCATTCGAAGTTGGCGTAACCACTCTTTTAGAGAGCTTTAGAAACTGTACTGCTAATAAATGATCAAATAGGTCATCAGCTTTAGAAATATCAAAAGCGTATTTTCTATGAAATTCTTTCTTTTTAAGCTGATGATATATTGTGGTTTCTTTTCCAACTAAGGCATCACATACATATGGTTTTTTGCATACAATTTCAGCAGTATCTATTTCCATGTTAGGGCCTCTATAATAGGTCCTAGATAAGGAATTGTTTATATTATGTTTTTCTTCTAGCAACGACTCATACCTAGACACTTTATAAGTCAAATCGACTAAGCCTCTAAAATCTGTTGCATCAAACTTCTTTTGAAGTCTAAACTCTAAGTCATTTTGAGCCAATCTAACAAATTCAGGCTTTGGAAGGACTGCCCTACACCACTACAAGAATTTTCACTTTTGGCGACTAAATTTTTAGTCGCCAAAAGTCAATTTTTGGCCACCGAAGAGCTTTAGCGACTAAATTTTTTGGTCGCAAAATTAGTAGCCGAAGAGTAGTCGAGAAAGCTAATTGGCGACTAAAATTATTTTAGTCGCCAAATGTATTCATTTGCCGACTAAATATTTAGTCGCCAAAAAGTTGAACATTAAATTAAATTAGACCATTTTCGGTGACCAAACTTTTAGTCGCCTAAAGTCCCACCTTTTTAGCTACTAAAATTTTAGTTGGCAAAAAGTTCTTTTTTGGCTACTAAAAATTTAGTCGCCGAAAGTCCCCATCTTTGGCTACTAAATGTTTAGTCGACAAAGAGTTCTTTTTGGCTACTAAATATTTAGTCGCCTAAAGTTTTACATTTTTTGTTACTAAAATTTTAGTCGGCAAAAGTGTGTTTATAATTTAGTTTTTTGTTTTTAGCTACGAAATATTTTAGTCGCCAAATGTTTGATTTTCTTTTGGCTACTAAAGTTTTAGTTGCCAAATGTCTTTTCTTTTTTTTTTTTTCTTTTTGGCTACTAAATTTTAGTCGCTAAATGTCTTTTTTTTTTTTTGCTACAGAACTTTTAGTCGCCAAATGTCTTTTTTTTTTTTTTAGCTACAACACTTTTAGTCGCCAAATGTCTTTTCCAAATTTCTTTTTAGCTACTAATTGTTTAGTCGCCAAAAACATGATATTATGTTTTATCGCGAAATTATAATTTCTCCACAACCCGTCTATATACAATGCAACCTGTAATACGTATAAAAACAAAATGATACATACTATCAATCATTCCACAATCTGCATCCATATACCAAAAATAAATAACATTAAATATCAAAGTCCATACATATCAACTATTGTCAAAACTAAAATAATAATTCCATACAAAATATATCATACAAAAATCAAAGCCCTCCGTATACAAAAAAATACATTTATTACCAAGCGAAATTACCATTTGGCATGGTACAAATTACCATCGTAATCTGTACCACAACAAAAAGTGATATATGTACCACGACAAAAGTTTTCTATAGACCATGACAAAACGTCCTATATGTACGCCAACAAATGGTATATATGTACCACGACAGAAGGTGATCTATGTACATGACAGTCATTATCTGTTGATTGCCAAAAGTTTTCTGTATCAATAATAATGAACTATACAAAAACTGAGGACGACAAAAGTATTATATTAGTTCTACACAAAAGTGAAAATTCTTTTCCATACACCAATATGGATTA